TTCAGCAGTCACACATGAGCAGGAGATATCCATAAGAGCTTTATTTTATTACAGTGTTTTGGTATAGTTAGAGCAATCAGTCATATTTTCGTCTTTCTAGGTCTTACTTAGTAGCAAGTGTCGTCTTGATTTGGAAATAACCTTTGCAATTCCCGCTCTGTGAACTCTTTCATCATCTTGCATAGAATGCTGTGCATATTACATATGAAGGGGAAGACACTGTCTCTTCCTCATCTAACTTAAAACTGTAATAATTTTCTTTTTTTTTCTTCCTATCACATACATAATTGAATTAGTTACAATTTTATACTACTTTTTTCTATCCAGCTGCTGTAACTAGTCTGTTACATGTTCACAGTACTAGCTATTTCCAGTGAGCTCTGCTGAAGCCATCCTTTTATCAGATTTCACAGGCTAGAAAACACAGATGGCTCTGTTGCACAGTGATAATTATTTTCTTTCTTCAAACATGTTTTGCACCTACTTGGTTCCCCTTTTGCTGGCCTTAGATGCATAATCTGTCGCTTCTATTTTGTTTTTCCTTCCGCTTTATTTTGTCTTCATTTAGACTGCAGACCTAAAAAATGCATTCAGCATGTGGTGCTTTGTAGAGCCTTTGTCACGATCTCGGTGCAACTGCAGAGAATAAACAGACTTAGCCTAGATTATATAGTGATTCCTTAGAATGCTCAAAAGTAATGCCTTTTAAAAGATGGTCTTACCTTTTAAAATAGCTTGATAGCAATATCTGAGTCTTTTCACAGGGAGGCTGTTAGGATGGAGTTAGGTATTCATATACTTTTCTCTGCAAAAAAACATACCTTCATTTCTGAATTAGAAATCTTAATTGAAGACCATTTGTTCTTGTAACATAGTTTTGAGTGATGAGTATCTGTTTTTAAGGTTTTAAAAAAAAAAAAACACAAAGCTTTGAAACTGTTAGCTCAGAAAGAGAGGAATGACATTAACTTACAAGTGATTGTGCACTAAATAGTAGCTTTTATGCCTTTTTTTTTTAAAAAAAAAAGTTAGTTACCGTATACTTTCTTTAAAATTTAGTCCTGTATGTCCCAGTGTCAGGGAGAGTTGCCACCTTATTGGTACCTTTATAATATTAACCAAAACAAAACAGAGCAAGGAGAGGATGATAGATCCATGTATAAAAATTCTGATGATGTCATGAGTTGCTTATTGAAGAGTAAATAAGAGCAAATAACGATGAACTCTTTAAAAATTGCTCTTCTATCTTATTAGGGAGTTAACTTGTTACATTTATAACAGCTTGGCTTCTAGAGAAGCTTTAAGTCTGCACAGATTTTTAGTTCTCTTTTGACAGAAATAGCTCTGAGCTTTTAAGTAAGTCCTAATAAAGTCCTTCTCAAGTGGCCTTATACTGAATTTTGGTGCTTACTGGGGAGTAACAGTAGGTAAGTAGTCTCTGCAATGCTAATTTGTAGTTGTTGTGTCACCTTTTTGACTTCAAAATTCTGAATTGCAGGCCCACAGATAGGTGCCCAGAGAACGTGTAGGTGGGCAAGAGTAAAGGCTTGACAGGGTTTAAAAGGAAGGAGCTAGAGTGAGGGTGACTCTCCAGCACACTAAGCATGCATCTCAGAGGGAGAGCACTTGGCTTCTGGGCTCTGCAGTCGCTGAGAAAAACGCACAGCACTCTTGTATGCTAAACTTGAATGCTTTTCATACGGTAAATTTGAATGTCTTGGGTGGAATTGAAAAACGCATTCAGCTGGGCCAAAGTGTTGATGAACCATGTGTGTTATCCAGACTCTGGACACTTAGGTACCCGCAGTGTTTGGGAGCAGGAAAGATTCAGAGGAGTGTTCAGGCCTCCCTACTAGTGGGATTTAACTGCTCAAATCTTAGTCCAGGTTTTGGTGCCTGTGTTCTTCTGGCTGGCCATTGTGAAGCCAGTGCTGCTTGTTCAATGTAATTGAATTTAGGCACATTAAAGAGAGGATTTCATGCCAGTCGGTATCTCTTAGAGCAGCTGAACACATGAAAATGACAAGGCGTAGTGATGCCATAACATGCCTTGTTTTTTCTGGTAGCTAGATGAAGAAAAAACTAAGTACAATGTTGTTCAGTGGGTAGGTAACGTAATG